AATTGAAAAATCCATTATCGTTTCTTAAACATATTGTTTGCTTAATCTTATCAAGATTATGTTTCTTGAAGATGGAACGTACCTAGTTCCGAAATGTCGAGAGTAAATAAATAAATAAAGAAATAGTTTATTAAAAAACTTTTTTTGTTTTTTATTACTTTTTGGATTTTTGTTCGAAACTCTACAATATATATATATATATATATATATATATATTAGGGTGGTCCTTAAAATGGTCATTTTCGAATTTCCTTGCTCCCAGGGGCTCAAATGGTCCAAATAGATAAAAAAACAATTCTCTGAAAGTTTTAGCTCTTAATATTAACGTTTAGATAGAGCGCAATTCAATCAAAGTTTGTATGGAAAGAGCATGAAACAATTTTTGCAAATTAAAAAAAATGTTTTAGGTATAACTTAGCGACAATGAATGAGTTATATTCATTCATTTGTTCGTTAAATTACATTTAAAAAACATTTTTAAAATTTTTGAAAATTTTTCCATGCTATTTCCATACAAAATTTTTGATTGAATTGCGCTCTATCTAAACGTTAATATTAAGAGCTAAAACTTTCAGAGAATTGTTTTTATCTATTGGAACCCTTTGAGCCCCTGGGAGCAAGGAAATTCGAAAATGACCATTTTAAGGACCACCCTATATATATATATATATATATATAATATTTATATATTATATTATATATATATATATATTTATATATATATATAATATATATATATACAAATATTTATGTACAAATATATATTACCTTCATCGTGGTATGGACAATACTCAGGTCTGCATTCCGGATGTTTTTCTTCACTGGAATCTGCATGGATTTTTTTTAAAATATTTTTTTAATATCATGAACAAATAGTATTTATAATATATACAATTCAAAATTTACAAAAACTTTGTAAATACCTTCACAAGATGATTCTGAACTACTTGAAGACGAAGTACTACTCGAGTAGGAAGAACTACTTGAAGAACTTGGGTAGATGTTATCTAAAAAATCATAAAATTAATAATAAAGTGAAAAATATTATAATTTTATAATATGAATATGTAACTGATAGTTTGATGCATCAAATTTCGGAATGAAAATATTAAAAAATATTATTGCAATAAATAAATTTACCAAAAAAACAGTGCATGGATTTTACTCCAAAACTTCTGGACTACTTTGATTGTTATTGATATTATACAAAATTTATATTAAAAACTTAATTCCAAAACATCAGTTTGATAATAACTTATATTATAAAGTATTTCTATATAATGTTTTATCAAAACAAATATCAAATTACCTATTGGACCTCCAATATAAACAGGATAATCTGCATAATCACTATAGGATTCTGATGATGACGATGATGATGAACCTGAGGACCAAAAAACAATTGTATTTGAATAATTTTATCAGAAAAAAAAATAGTTGCCTATTTATAAATTTGAACAAAATTGAAAAAGTGCTCCCGTATAGTCACAGTCTAAACGCATCTGCAAACTAGCTGTAAGTGGAATTCTGTCTTAAGGCAATTAATGCATCGTGCCTTAAGGCAAATTGCTGGAACTTCCCGTACCAAAAATTATTATTCTTTTAAAAACGATTAAAATTTTTGAAAAAATTTTACTTCGAAAAAATAAGATTTTTGAGAAACTATAAATTGGACAAAAAATAACTTTTTTTTGAAAAAAAAAAAAAAAAAAATTTTTTTTGGAAAAAAAAATGTTTTCTTTATTTTGACATATCTTGGAAGATCTGAACTTTTTTTCAAAGCAATCGTACTGCTTTTACTGCATAGAGACAAAATATAAAGCGCGTAAGCGCCGCGTCGCTGTCTAACGGATAAACATTGGTACGGAATCCATAGGAATCTAAAAAAAATTTACTTATTGTTAAAATCTCTATAAAATATCTGATAATTTGATGTGCATATGCCTAATGATCATTTTTGACCGCCAAATGGCATTTTTTTTTCCATTTTTTGTTAGATCTCCGAAACCGCTAGACCTGCCTTCATGAAAATTTGATCAATTCTTCATCTTGTCAATACAAGTAAAATGTTTTTTGAAATATTTAAATCGGACGCTCTGTTCTCTTAAAAACTGAGGTACCGTTTTGGCACTTTTTGCCCCATATCTTCGGAACGGCTAGACCTGCCTCCGCCAAAAACTAATCAGCACGTCTCCTTATCAATACGAATCGAATGTTTTTTGAATTATTCAAATTGCTTCATCCGTGTTCCTGAAATCGTCGACGAAAATTTGTATCCGCACACACATACATACACGCACACACACACACAAACACACACACATACATACATTTTTTCTAAGGTATGCCAAAATGTTCAGAAACCTCTGAAACGTAAAGATATATAAAAATTATCATTTTCGATTTTTTTGCAATTAATATAACTTACTCTACGGGAAGTTAATAATTCGAGTGCGACATTTTCACTTATACTGTGCTTAGCTTGGCGGCATTTTCACATTTTTCAATAGTTTGGCAAAAAATTGGAACAGTGTTCCTGTACATAAACAGTCTAAACGCACTTGCCAGAGTGGCGCTTAGACTGCGCTTAGCCTGGGTAATTTTTAACTTCCTGTAGAAATCAAATCAGTTGATCCGTGCGCTCGAAAACGTGGACGAAAAAATGCGGACATACAAAACACACACACACAAATACACACATACATCCGTTTTTTCTGAGGTATGCCTTAAAATGTTTAGAAACCTTCAAAACGTCGAGAATAGCAAAAAATTTCATTTTCGATTTTCGGCCCATTACTATAGTAATGGGACGAAAACCAAGTAAGAGAAATAAATTCAGATTTTTGAGTTACCTATAAACTCATCTCAATTTCATATTTTTGTATCATAATTAAAAATAATTCACCAAAAGTAATTTGCACAGACTTTATTTTGCCATTGTAGTTATATATAACTACTCTACGGGAAGTTAATAAGAAGTAGTGTATAGGTTTATCTTAGAAAGTTATTATTTTAGATATTATCATAAGATTAAATTAAATAGATTAAATTATCAATATTTTTGTAAAAATCTATCTGCATTCTAAAAAGCCTGGAGTTGCATCTTAGAATATTTGGAAGAATCCAACTACATTAAGAACCAGGCAAAATAAAGTCTGTGCAATTACTTTTGGTGAATTATTTTTAATTATGGTACAAAAATATGAAATTGAGATGAGTTTATAAGTAAATCAAATTCTGAATTTATTTCTCTTACTTGGTTTTTGTGGTTTATGACGATGTTCTTCACTAGAAGATGAAAAACTACTACTGCTGCTACTGTAGGAGAAGGAGGAAAACTAAATAAAATAAACAAAAAATTTAAAAATAAAATTTTTATAAAATTGAGTCTACTTGTCGTCTACGAATGTATCAAAATCATAGTCTTTGGTCATCTGTTTCCAATTAGTTAATGAAGAAGTAAAAAAAAATTTTGTTTTCTGTCGAATTTTACCTGAAGATCCACTATAGGATTCACTAAAATCTGGGAAAATTATAACAAAAATTACTTGTCTTAAGAATTTTGGATTGTTTTTTTATATTACCTGATGATCCACTACTGGATGAGAAACTGCTTTCAGACTCTGCAAAAGATTAAGAATATTTTAAAAAATTAATAGTACAATTTTATTACATACTGGTGAAGCAAAAGTTTGGTTTTTACCTGATAATGGTTCATAAGAGTGTAAACTGCCAGGATCTATTTCGGATTCGTCATCATAATCTAAAAAAAAAACATATAAAATATAGTCAAAACAAATTGACCAGAGATTTAAAAAAAACTCATTTAAAATAATAAATGTATATCTTGGAACACTTAGTGAAACAATGCAAATATGAATCAGTTTACAGATTTTTCCTAAAAAGTTCTAATTTCAAACTTTTCTTTAAAACGTTCTTAAAAACCAATAATCATTTTTATCAACTGCTGAAGTGAAAATACATTTCTGGTGCTTTTTCTTGATAATTTATTTACCTTGTGTCCTAAATCTGTCTCGGATATTTAATACCGGGATGTCTTTGATACCTGAAAAAAAAGTAGTTATATTATCACTTGATGAAAAAAAAAAATTTTTTTAGATGGTATTTAGATTTCACCTGATGAACTACTACTACTTTCTGAAGAGTAACTGCTCTCCAATGAATTTGATCCGAAAGACTCGCTAGAATCTAAAAAAAAGAGTACAAGATGGCATTTAAGTAAAAAGAAATACATCATATAACAATTTGGAATAATTTAGTTTATTAGTAATATGGTAACACTTGTGATGCACACATTATTATTAGGGTCGTCAATCATTATACACATTTATATAATGATAAATTATATAAATGTGTATAATGATATATTTATGATAGCATTAGAAATATGTATAATATTTAAAAACAATAATGTAATGAAAGTATGACTTCAAATATGACATGATCGGTTTGTCATTGTAATTAGCATTCAGAAACAAACCTTTATTAGAGAAATGAGTTAATTTTTGATTAATAAATTCTATACAGTGGATTATGTTAAACAACGCCTAAACAAATATTGTTCTCGCAACTGCACTCATCATGTAATAATTGTGTTTGAAAAACTTCATGTAATTAAAATTAACATACATTCATTGACAGTTTGTATTTTTCTTACTTTTTTGCTGGCGATACAATCTCATTCTTTTAAATATTTTCCATTTTAATAATTTCTAATCAATAAACTTACGTTGGCACAAATGTTTAATTTGTTTTATTATTTTCAAGGAACAGGGTAAAATATTCTTATGATTCAGGCATTTTTCATTAAATCAAGATTTGTACTATGAAGTAACTTTAGAATGTTTATTTATAATCACAATCGACCCGCATAGAAATATCATCGAGAGCGAATGACGAATCATTGGCATTCGACCTTGCCGTAACGCACTTTCGTTGCATTCTACGGATTTACACCCTAGTCGCGCTTAAAAAAGTTTTACTTCAAAAATCATATAACGGATTATCAAAACAAAAATTACTGATGATTTTTATAAGAAAGAAAATAAAATTTTAGATATCAATACCTGATGATCCACTATATGACGGGTAGTACGGTTTATTTCCGCCCCAATAACCTCTAGAATCTGTAAAAAATATTAAAAACTGTCAATAATAATACAACAAAAACTGTTAAGGATTGCCAGAACTCTTGGTGATGATCATTTTCATCAATTGGTTACGCCAAAATAAATTTTATAATATGTTCTTTAGATTTTACCTGATAATCCACCAGAGGAGTCACTAGAATCTAGAAATAAATGATAAGAATTATGAAAACCAAAGTTTGTTGATAAACACTTTTACTACTAAAGTGTCCAGAAATATTCAGATAATATAAGTTCTGATAATTATTTATAAATTTTACCTGAGGATAAAGAGCTGTCCCATGGATAACTTTCAGATCCACTATATTCTGGAAAATATTGAACATTCATTGAAAAATATATAACAGTATATGAAAACTAAAATTTTGACCAATCAGAAATTTGAAGGATTATTTGTTCACTTTGACCAAAAGATTCTAAATTGGACAACAAGTTGCTCGATGATTCTTTATATTTAATTTCATCAAAACCATAGATCTAGATGAAATTATTTTTTTTTTGAAAGAGATCCAAATGCAATTATTTTTTTAAGGAGCTCAGATAATTTGTTCCAAAACTCTCTAAAAATAATATTAAATTTTTGCTGGTTATTGATAAATGTTATCTGAAGACCCCTTCTAGGATCTACTTGTATCTAAAGACAACATGGAAAATAAACAAAGCCAAAGCTGGTACTGGTTTCTATCAATTGACAAAAAAAAATAGATTTGTTATGGATATTTACCAGATGATCGACTATAGGAACTATCCCATTCATCGCTCCAGTATTCACTAGAACCTAAAATAAATAAAAAATGTAGAAAGTTTGATGTTTGTTTTTAGAAAGACAATCTAGATTTTTTGTAGTTTGGTTTGCAATTTACCTAAAGATTCACTACTGGATGAATCACCGGAATCATAATAGTTATAATCTGTCAAAAACAAGAAAAAATTAGCCAATTTGAGTCCAGAAAATTAATCTTATAAATAAATTTAGGTTGAATTTTTTGGCAATGTTACCTGAAGATAAAGATCCACTACTAGATGACAATGAGCTGTCGTAGTATTCATAATAGTCACTGGAACCTAAACAAGGGCAAGAAAAAATTCAAACAAATTTGCCAAAAAAATGTTAACTATAAGACAAGGAATTTTTAGTAATTGGCCAAAATTGTTTGTCATATTTTTTTATGTAATGTCAAATCTAATGTTATATATATTTGTAATTCAAATGTCCCAGCATTACTATGGTGGCAATAGTGTTACTAGGGTTTATACAAAAACCGACATTTCAGAAAACCGGTTTTCGAATTTTAATTTTACTAAAAAAACGGGTTTTAACCGGTTTTCGAATTTCATATAGAAAATAAATTTTTGCTCGAATATTCTGTAATTTATCCGCAAATTTAGTGTAATTTAGAGCAGTATTTAAGTAAATTTATTTATTGTTCAATTTTATAGATAGTAAACAAAATTATTCTAATTTTAATTAGTAGAACTAAAAAATAGTAGTTTATCTTGATTAAATAACTTTGAAAATAATTATTCGTTATTCATGCATCATTTTCACACATAAGAATTAAAATATTTTCATAGTAGTGAAAGGAAAGTTTTTGAATGATTAAATATAATACATTCTTAAATAAAAAAATGCAATAAATTAAAAAAAAATTCAAAAATATTAGATACTTAAGTTAATATCAATTTTAGTTTTAAAAACAATTAAGCTAAACTCAGGTATTGTCTGTTCCGAGCAATTTTAATTAATTAATTCTAAACAATCTAATTGTTTTTTTGTTTAATAAAATATGATTTTAAAAAAACTTAGAACGTCTATCGAATTGCTACTTAGACGTGTCCTTTGTTTACTCACAAAATTTCCTGAAATAGAAAATACTCTCATACTTGCGACCAAATTATGCTTAATTGTTTCTAAAGCCTGGTATAATAATTCTAAGTTTTTGTTCTTTTATCTGTGGCTTCTAGGGTTTAAAACTCTATTTTTTAAGTTTCATTAGAGGAAGTTACTTCTTCAAGAATAAGTCACACTGATCTAAATCAATATATACACTGGTATAAAAATCTAGATTAATATATACAAAACCTTTCTGGGAACCATTGCAGACTGATAAGATATCAAATGCTATTGAACCGATATGATTTCAAGAATCAAAACGCTTTCATCTATCTTTCATATTTGACTATATTTGTTATTTTCCATTTATACAGTGAAAACCGACTTTTTTCACAGAAACCCGGTTTTTGAATTCTATCATTTTTGTCAAAAAATCGGTTTTTAAAACCGGTTTTTGAAAACCGACAAACCCTACTATTAGTGATGTTGGCAATAGTGTTCTCCTACTATAACTATGCATTCCCAATGTTATATTTTTATGTTTATATAAAAATGTGTGAAATTATTTCTCTTGCTCCAGAAAATTGAAACAAGTAATATCTAAAATAAACGTAGTAATTTTAAGGGGCACAACTAGTGTAACCGCCTAAAAAAAGGTGATTTTTAGGAATTTATATTGAAAAAACTACTTTATCAATTATTTCAAAATTTTAGGAATACATTTATACATGTCTTAAGAATACATAGTAAAATTTTTGAAGAAAAAAAATGAATATTTTTCAAGTTATCGTCGATCTCCAACGGCGCGACAAAAAAAAGCCCTTCACTGCTGCAGTGATTTCGGCCTTCTACGTGGATGAAATTAAAAAAAAAATCTCGTTAAACTAGATAATATTGTCTGTAAAATGAACTACAATGAAGAAAACAATCAAAAATTGACAAAATGACGGCGTTTTTAAAAAAACGTCGAATTTTACCCAAAATTTTGATCGTTTTTCGACTGCCAAAATTCGATTTTTGATCCGATCAAAAAACCGATAGTTCATTTTACGTAAAACTATATATAGAAGATGTAAAAAAAAATTGGAAGTGATCGGATCATTTGTTTTTAAGTAATCGCTGCAGCAAATTCGGAAAATGCTGTTTTAAAAAAACGCGTTTAAAGATAAAACATTCCTTATACTACATACTATATATAGACTCTTTAAATGGCTGTGACTCAAAAACTATTTAAGATATCGATTTAAAACTTTGGTATTTTAAAGGTATGTCCTATCGAAATATGGAAAAATTAAAAATTCGTTTTTTTGAAAATTTCACACTAGTTGTGCCCCTTAAAGAAAGCATTTTTATTTTGCCAGTAATTTTACCTGAATTTGACGAATCGCTGCTGGATGACAAGGAATCGCTGCCCCAAGGTAAACTGTAGTCACTATAGTCTAAAAAAAATACAAAAAGCTGTTGAATCCTTATTTTTTGACTACTAAAATTCATTCACAAATATTACCTGAATATGATGAATCGCTAAAGGATGATGACGAATCGTCCCAAGGCTTTCTCCTCCATGATCCTAAAAAAAATATGGAAGATCTCAAATAAAGTTTGCCAGAAGGATATTGTCTAGTGAATTTAAAATTTACCTGAAGATTCACTACTGGATGATGAAGAGCTTTTGTCCCAAATTCTCCTATGTTTTCTGCCGCCTAAAAAAATTTATTTATCATAAATTGGTGAATTTAAATTTACTTAGAAAAGTGTTTAAAAATGTTTTACAAAGGTTACCTGAAGATGATGAATCGCTACTAGATGATGATGATGATGAGCTGTCCCAATATTTCTTTCTCCTTGGTCTAGATTCTAAACAAGACATGAAAAATTTGAAAACCAAGGTTAAATGTAAATAAAAATCTGAAAAGGTAGATGATAAAGGGTCTGGGCGTGTTTCCATACAGAATTGGCCCCACCCTTAAAAAAAAATTCTTCGAGAAAATTTGAAATACCAAATTTCAAATCCGTAGCTCATCATTTGGCCGAGATATCAGTGAAAACATGTGGAAGTGGCCCCTTTTTTTAAACTCACTTTTTGTCGGAAATATGAGAGATATCAAAAAACTGTTAACGTCATTCTATTTTTACTGATCTTGTCTATGTTGTTCATAACAAATAATGTGAAAAAATTATTTGTTAGTGCGTGAAAAGGTGAAAATGATTTTTCATTTTCCATTTTCTACTAGTACGGCTATTTTGACTACTTTTATATTAGCATCATTCGAAAGTCTGTACATTTTTCTTTTATTATTCAAAAATTCATTCAAATCTAAGTGGAACTTCGGGAGAAAAGTTGGAAAAACTTAACGCCGAATAAAACAATAATTATTATTATTGATTATTTTCATTCGCCGTATAAGTTCTGACTAATATATTTCAATGTATGAAAAAGTTAGGATTTCATTATTTTTCATATATTAAAAGTATATTGAAAAATATATCTCTGTGAGCACACATAGAATTTCACAAATTATAATTATTGTGGTTTTCCATGGAGAATAGGTAAAATAGCAATTATTATTTTTTGAATCGATATTAGTTTTGCAAAAAATATATTTTCTTTTCTGTGCACTATTTATAACTTGACTGAAATTGCAATAATTTTACATTTTAGTGACAATTTTATCATGATATCGAAAAATTGCAAGTATTACAATAAATATTTACATAGAAAGGTAATTAAATTGAGAAAACTGTGGATGATGCAGAATTGTATAGTAGTTATATAGAAAAAATAATTATAATTGTTCTTACTATTCACTGAAAAAATAATAGTTGTCATTTGGATAGCCATGGATAGCCATAATAATTATAATTTTAACAACAGAGATATATTTTTTGTAATATACTTTTAATACTTAATATATATATATATATATATATATATATATATATATATATTTATATATAAACTCAATATATAATACATACTAATGTTACCTGATGATGAAGATTCGCTACTGGAAGTATATGAATAGTAGTCGAATATTCCACTGCCCCAAGAGTCGCTATATTCTAAAAATTTAAATTTATATTGTATTCATTAGTTCATTTAGTAAATAAGTTTTGTTTGGGTTGTATTTTGGTTAAAAATTTTGTATTGAAAGTACCTGATTCACTGCTGGATGAATATCCACTCTCTGACAGTTCTTCACTTGAAGCGAAACTCGATTCTATCAAAAAATATTAAAAATTTTAATAACATGTAAAATAAAATTGTAAGGATTGCGTTGTAAGAAAACTCGAAAATCCAAGATCAAGTGTGTTATTCCTTTGTTCATAAAATTAGTTATTTGCCTCAAAAGTAGGATAAACTAGCTGTGAGTGGAATTCTGTCTTGAGGCAATTATGGCATCGTGCCTTAAGGCAAATTGCTGGAACTTCCCGTACCGTAACGAAATGTTTGAGGAATACTGAATGTTTTCAAATAGATTATTATAAATATTGTAACATTGTCTAATATTTATGAGAATTATATAAACTGAATTGCAAAGTTGAAATTATTTGTAAAGTATATTAGAATTATAGTCAGAATTAAAAATAAAATCTGAAATATTTTCGATATACAAAAACCTAAAAAAAAAAAAAAAAAAAAATGGAACAAATTTTTTTTTTTCCAAAATCAATTATTTTGTTAAGACAAGCAGAAAGTTCTTTGAATCATTTAAATCGGACGCTTAGTTCTCTCAAAAACTGCCATTTTTTACATATTTAGCTCCGTATCTTCGAAATGGCTGCGCCTGCCTTTGCCAAAAACTAATAAGCACTTCTCCCAATCATTACTAATTGAATGTTTTTTAGATCATTCAAATCGGATACTCCGTCCTCTCAAAAATTCGATTTCTATTTTCCGCACTCTTTGCTCCGTATCTCCGAAACGGCTGGACCTGCCTTTGCCAAAAACTAATCAGCTCTTTTCCCTATCAATAGAAATCGAATGTTTTTTGAACCATTCAAATCGGTTGGTCCGTGCGCCCTGAAACGTGACTGGAAATTTGTATCCATACATACATACACACACACACACACACACACCATCCATTTTTTCTGAGGTATGTCAAAATGTTCAGAAACCTTCAAAACGTCGAGAAATGTTAAAATTTTCAATTCCGATTTTCGGCCCATTACAATAACTTACCCTACGGGAAGTTAAAACAATACAACTATATAGTTTGCACGAAAATCAGATGTTTTATAATCTATAGAATACCGTTAAGTAATAGTTTACATTTACCTAAAGATTGTAAAGGTTTTTCTCTTGTTTCTGTGAAAATATAACAAAAATTTATACAAATATCTTTTACAACAATTTAGAAATAACTTGAATACTAAATCTGCTGATCTGGTAAATGGAAAAATGAAATGACTATTTGTATACTTGCCTGAAGATCTAGATGATTTTCCTGGTTCTGATGGTGACGGTCCTGATGGATATCCATGTGTGAAAATATTTAAAAAAAATTACTATTATTTATTAATCAAGAAGGATTGCTAAAATTCCTGATGTGCCATAATGACAAATTGTAAACAATAATATTTTATAATTTATGGTTTAAACTTGCCTGGAGATCTAGAAGATTCTTCTGATTCGGTTGAGAACTCCTCTGATTCTTCGCTATCTGTAAAAAAGAAACATAAGGTGATCACACAATTATAATATTTTGTTACATAATATATTCTATATTTATTAATATCATATTCCTGAAAGCTTCCAGATAAGAAAGATATTCCAGATGTTTTTTGACAATTTTTATCTTGATTTAAAATAGTACATTTATGAAATAAGTAATTATTGATCAAAACTATCATTATTGAAAACTAGATAATTTAGGTAACTTGTCTTTGGATAAAATGCTATATACAATTAGTTTTTTTGTATAATTTACCTGATTCAAATGAAGATGAACTGGTTCCGCTTTTTGGATTACTTTCTGGTGCTATAGAAATTATTTCAAATTCATTAAAATATTTGAAATTTGAATAAGATATATAAAATATATCTATATAAGTAATTATATAGATTAGATTAGTAAGTAATCTAATTTATTGTATGAAAGTTTTGTATTAAATTATTACGTACTTGGTGGTGCTTCAGGAGGTCCTTCTGAAATATAAATATATTAAATTTTATTAATTTACTTTATTTAATTTTTTTAATTTGATTTCATTTAACATAATTTAAACAAAGAATTAATTCTAAATTAATTCGATTTTACCTGTAGATGATCCTCTTGAGGAAGAACTTGAAGGATCACTTTCTGGTACTTTTATAAAAAATATTTATAATTAAATATATCATTTGATAAGAAAAATAATAACTTAGATGAATTATATGAATATAAAAGTAATAATTTACTGTATGATAATTATTAAAATAATTACGTACCAGTTGTTGGCTCTGATGGTCCTTCAGATTTACATAGATAGAAAATAAATTTGATTTATTTGCTATGGATTAATTTAATAGTTATATATATACGAGTATAACTATATATATATATATATATATATATATATATTGTTAATATACTTAACATTTCTCAATGTTAACTAAATAATTATTTCACATTTTAAAACAAATTATATTTTTTATTATTTTTGGTTACTTATAAATTACATACCAAGTGATTCTTCTTCTTCTTCCCCATCAGATTCAGATGATTCTGTAATTTTTAAATTATTAATAGTAAAAATAATATCTTCTATGAGATTTAAATAATAATAATAATTGTTTATTATATTTGTATAAATTAGTATTTTTTATTAAGTAATTCTTTTTAACTTATGTTGTTACCTGATTGTGAAGATTCTTTTGTAGAAGCTGAAGGTTCTGGTCCTTTTGGCACTAAATTATAGAAATAAATTATATATAATGTTAATATTATGAACTAAATAGTATAATAAACTAACAAAAAATATAATAAAATATTTTATTTATTCTAAGGTATTTTGTATTTTATTTTAAATTTACCTGTTGGGGCAGACGAATCCTCAGATGCTGATGATCCTGAATTATAAATTATCATTATTATTTTTATTCATAATATGCATATTTAAAACACAAAACAATTTTGAAAATAACAATAAAAAGTTTCCAGCGTCTTTAAATTACAAAATATTCATAATATAAAAAACATTTTATATTTTTTATTAAATATAACTTAATTACTCTTAATATCTGAATTAATAACTGAATTTAGCTACATGTTTATACAAGTTTGAGGAACTTACTTTATCAATGTTTTAATGTTTATTTGGTTGAAATAATCAAGTAATCACCAGCACAAAAATATATTATTATTATAATAAATACTTAAAAACAAAAATAGAAATGTGGAAGTCACCTGATTGTGAAGAAGATGGTGGTGCTGGTGGTCCTAAATCACAAAAAATACAAAAAATCAATGGCCCAATAGTTTTATGTTTCAAATAACATATAATTAAATAAAATCTCGTACTTAACGAAATTATTTGAAAAATGTAGATTTGTATTCAATTGATCAATTATTTCAAATTATTACTTTAACATAATGTATTTTATATATTATTATAAAATAATAATAAAATATACAATGTTTGAATAATTATAGTCAAAATAAACAATAAAATGAATTTAATAACTTAAATTATAAATTTACCTGGTGGCGAACTCTGAGACTTAGGTTCTTCTGGTCCTAATTTAAGAAAATATACAAATTTTTATTATTAATTTAATGAATGGTTAAAAATAATGAAGAACGACTAAAATAAATATTCCATATTTTGTGATTTTGTAAGAATTTATATTTCATCTGATATAAATTAACGAAATTTTTATATAAATTTAATTACCTGTGCTATTAACGGACGGAATGTGGAAGGTATTGTTTCCATAATCTGAATATTTTGCAAATTTATATTAAAATCGCAAACAATTTTGTTATTTTATTTAATTTTGAAACAAATACCTGCTAAACCTGATGATAAAGCTGTAGAAGTTTCTACATGTTTGGTTGTTGTTTCTTGAAAATATTTATTTTATAAATTTTAATTATACTAATTTTTATGATTCATGAATCAAAGTAATATATTTCAGTTTATTACGTCTCATGTAATTTTAATTAAAATGTAAATTATTAGACCGATAACTATTTAACAAACTAACGTTTATCTTAATTTTCAACAAGTTGTTTAGAATATAATATAGCAATTTAATTTAAAGTTTAATTCAATATAATATTTAGTTTAATCATGTTTTTATTTATTTTTGACAGACATAAGTAGTTTGAATAATTTATCAGTTGTTGTAATTATATAGACTTTTATTATTTGGTAAATAAAATAAAATTTTAAAGTTAATTTTATTACGTACCTTCAGTTGTTGTCTTTACTGTTGGTGCTGTAAAAAAATAAAAAAAACATTTAAATTTCACTGATACTAATTTTGGTTAAGACTTTCAAGCAAAGGCAAAATTCTAGAAAAATCATAAACTTAAATTTTATTTTTTGAACGAAGGATATATATATATTATTATATTATATATATATAATTAAAACTGTAATTTACAAAAAATAAATAAACCTTGATGTACTTACCTTTAGTAGTAGTATGGTTGAAAGGGTCGGTACTGTATAAAAATATTATATCATTTTATATCAACATTTTATCATAATTAGCATATGAACTATTTCATCCATAATATATACTTTCATAATAGTGTTAAAATAAACGTTTTTTGTTAAAAAATAAATTGCTGTACTTGTGTAGATATGGTGACTTTTATTGAATATTTGCAAAAACTGAACAAAAATGTTATTGTAAATATAGTTTAATAAATATATAAAAAATAGATCTTGGATAACCGTGCTCTCTTATCATAACGTATAGTAAAATCAATACATAATTGTTAACTTATGGTATTGATATATAGAAGAAATGGTCTAATATTTACATGCTACTCGTTGTTGACCTTCTCCAATAGCCCATGGTAAAGCACAACTAACAAAAACCAGCAGCACAAATAAAAGTCTCATTATTTACCAAAACACCAATTTCAAAACACCAAAATCTATTTTCCAACACCAAAATCTATCTTTTCACACCAAAATATCTTTTATCCTTAATAAATCTTTTCCTGCCTCTTTCGTCAACTGTCGAAAGTGAGAAAATCTTCTTCGAGGGATTTACAGAATGAAAATCATAATATTGCTGACGTCAACAAAATTATTGCTGCAACACATTCGGACGCAAATTCTAGATTTTAGCGTCAACTCGATATAACACAATTTTTTTGTTGCAATTTGCAACAATTTGTTATTAACATAACATATGGGCATTGTTGGTGTAATAGGTGTTATTGCATTGATGGAAATTTTGCAACCGACTAGGGATGAGATAATGGAAATTTAATAAAAATTATATTTAATATTGAAACTAGTTTTTTTGTATAGTAAAGAAAATGCCTTTATATGTCCCACTGGTGTTTTATATTAAAAACTAGGTGTAAGTGGTATTTTGCCTTGAGACAAGTTGCATGAACCTCCCGATATATACACGAAATAAATTTAATGAATAAAAATTGAGCTTCAAATATTTTGAAAAAAATTGCATTCCAAAAATCTGTCGTACAAAGTTTCATCAGAATCTTCTAAAAATTTTGAAGTAAATTATTAGTCGAGAATCGTCAAAAAAATTTTTTTTATAAAAATTGGTTAAGCAGTTTCTTGCATTCATCATATTTCATTATTATATGTCTAACAAAAATATTATTTAATAAATATTGGAAAAATAATTATTTATACCAAAAGCTAAATATTGTTTATATATAAATATTTTTTCTGGACTTTTTAATATTATTAACTTATTATTTTTCTTATTAGAAGGAATTTATTGTAAAATGAAAATTTTTGTAAATAATTATTAGTTATTAAAATTATAAAAAGTTTTTAAATTTATAATGTTAACATAATTTTTAAATTTACAATGTTTACTGTTAAGTTTTTTTTCAATTAAATTTGTTCTCAGTTCAAGCTTTATTAACTATATATAATATAAATTTAATTATTAAAAATCGTTCTTGATAAAAAAAAATTGTAAAGTTGTTATATTTTGTAAATATTTTTTTAACTAAAATAATTAATTGTGAATTAATTTATATTTTGAAAAAAAACGGTTCAGCTAATTTTTGTTTGAAAAAATTGACAAATTCAATTCTATGTTTTATAAACAATTATGTTTTGATGTAAAAATTAAAAAAAAAAAAATAGTTTAAATTATCTGTTATAAAAATAAATTTAATGTTTTGTTTTGAAAATTATATATTAATAGCTTTGAAATTATAACTAAATATTAAATATTAGAATAATAATTATAAACAAAAAAATTGTTTTTATTTCAGGTATTTCTTTACTGATTTTTCTACATATTATATTCATATATATATATATATATATATATATATATATATATATATAGTATTTTATATTTATAATTTATTAAACCCTGTTAAACAAATTAAATATATATACATATATTTAATTTAATTTCCACATTTTGCATTATATTTTGGTGCAATAACTATTTTACGTAATATTTAATATATAAATGAGTTACAAGTTCAATTTATTAGAATATTAACACAAATAAATATTATAAAATATTTAGTATTAATTAAATTTTAACACTCTATTATTTTATGAAATCATATAATAATAATTAAAATATTTTGGAACAGATTTAATTAAAATAAATGATAATATTTTAAATTAATTTTACATACATTGTATAATTATGGCAACAGCATATTATTTTAATAATAATGATAACATCGAATTATATAATTATAATTAATATACATTTTTTCGACAAACATGATTTTTTTTAAATATTGTAGATTTTTATACTGAAAAGTCATGGTAAAAGTTTAGTATAACACTTTAGTATGTAATAAAAAATATTACAATTTTATTTTTATATATTATTAAAGTTAATAATTTTTTACATTTTTATTTTTATATAAAAAATATGCTAGATTTTTTATTATATTTTTCTTGATATGAATTCTAATGAAATGATGACATATTAGGTTGTCAAATATCTCCCTTCCGCCTTTTTGTATTATAAACCAATTGCAAAAAAGCGGAAGGGAGATATTTGACAACCTGATATATCAAGTATCAAAATGTACAGAATAAACATTTCAAACATTTTTTTAAACTAATTTTATTACAGGAAAGGATAATGTAGTATTTCTTCTAAGACAAGCATAAATTTAATAAAATTTATCTCATCAACTTGATAAATATTTTTTAAATAGTAAATTTAACACTTTTTTTTTTTTAATAAGGTTTTTGATATTGAAATTGATAAGATATTGATTTTTGAGCGAATGACACTGCTGTACGGGCCAGCATGTCGCCCAAGTTAAAATAATTTTAATCTTTGTTATTAAAAATATAATGAAATTCAACAATTACTTTTTTAAAATACTAACAATTACAATAACCACTCAGATTTCTGAATTTTTACTTCGGAGTGGTAGTTCTTTAAAAAAAATTAGACTGAAGTCTTCTTCTCAAAAATAGATATTAAATTTTTAACCCCAGCATTAGAATTCTGCATTTTGATCACATCCAAATATGTTTGATTTTCACAATTTTTGATCCCGGTTTTTGCACAGTTGTCCAAAAGCAAATTTATCATTTCTTCATCATTGTTGGCAGCAGCAATATGTAAAGGAGTGTCTCCTAAATCATTTTTGGAGGTTGATATCAACATTTCTCATCAACAGCTCCAGAACTATATCCATTTTTTTGTCTTTCACTGCCAAGTGCAGAAGAGTATTGTTCATTTTAAATTTTTTCTTTAGCACTTTTTTGATATGTGAATTTAGAAATTCAAGCTCTTTTTGGCATTTTCTGTAATTTTCGAAAATGTTGTAGATTACTGAATTTTCTTGCTGACCAACTTTTTGGTCACAAGAAATTGGGGCACTGGTTTCTTTATTCATGATAGTGATTGATTGAATTTTATTATTATTTTAGCACTGCGAAATAAAGTCTAATATTTTTAGATGATTGAATAATATATATATATCAACGTTATCATTGCAAAAAAGCACACAAATTGTTATCAGTGTAAATAATCATGAATTAGTTCAAACCTTATAGGAATCCAAAATGATTTTTAGTAAGAATCTAGTTAGAATCCACTGACAATCCAATAATAATTCAGCATAAATTTAACTAGTTGTGTATGGCATCTTGCCTTAAGGCACATTGCTGGAACTTCCCGTACCGTAATGAAATATTCGAGAAATTTTAAACGTTTTTAAATATATTATTACAAATACTTTCAGTAATTTTCAATATTTTTGCTATCTTGTTATGTCTGATTGTGGGCAAATCAAATGTGAATTATAATTCAATTTATCTCCAGAACATTAACAATCGTCATTTCATTTCGAATTCAATTTATATAAAAAAAATAGTTGCCTAATTTACACAAAATTGAAAAAGTGCTCCCGTATAGTCGCAGTCTATACGCATTTGCAAATATTTCTGTGCGAAATTTTCACTTATACTGTGCTTAGCTTGGCGGCATTTTCACATTTTTCAATAGTTTTCACAAAATTGAACTTTTAGCACTGTATCTCTAAAACGGCTGGACCTGTCTTTGTCAAAAACTAATCACCTCTTCTCCCAATTATTACAAATTGAATATTTTTTAGATCAGTCAAATCCGATACTCTGTTCTCCCAAAAACTCGATTTCATCTTTGTGCACTCTTTGCTTAGTACCTTCGAAACAGCTCGGCCTGCCTTTGCCAAAAACTAATCAGCATATCTCCCAATCAATAGGAATCGAATGTTTTTTAAACCACTCGAATCGGTTGATCCGTGCGCCCGAAAACGTGGATTAAAAAATGCGGACACATAAAACACACACACATCCATTTTTTCTGAAGTATGCCAAAATGTTCAGAAACCTCTGAAACGTGAAAATGTGCAAAAATTTTCATTTTTGATTTTAACAAGAATCCAAAACAAATGTGGTAAGGATTTAAAGAAAATCTTGAAAGGATTCTAAAAAATCTTACAAGAATTCAATATAATCTACTGAGAAACTTCAAGTGACAAATTCAAGTGACATTCTTATAAAATTGCCTAACAAGAAGTTTGTCGGAATCCAATGAAAATTTTTCAAGAATCAAGCAAAAATCTCGTCAAAATCTTATAAAAAATATGACAATAAACAATAAGAATCCAATCCTGTAACCCTATACAAATTTATTAAGAAATTTCGAGTCATCATCAAAATTTATAGACCTAGTCTTTAGAACTTTTGCCAAAAACGTTTAACCTTCAATAGGAATCGAATGTTTTTTTAATCATTTTTTTTCG